TCATAGGCTGCTGTTTGCATGGTGACCCCAGCTTAGACAATTCTATTGGCTGAGCAGACAAGAAGGTTATTTGAAAGTCCTTTGGGAATTCTCTGCCAAAGCTAATGTTCATATTGTGTTAGTGCACAGATAGAGGAGAGAACCCTGTCAAGGTCTTCAGGAGGGATGAGATAATAACACAGGTGAAGAAGAGGTAATAAAGAGTTTCAAGAGAGGTGCTATAGGTGCTTGTGTATACAAATAATATATGCACACCTGTTAGTCATTTATGACTTTATATCATGTTAACATTATAGTCTTTTCTATGTTAGGGAAGGTCATTGTAGACTAACTTGATAGTTTGCTTTGTCTAGGAATGACACACAGTTAAGCAGATATGGCAGTTTTCTGATCAAGAAGATGAAAGACAGAGCATACAGTTAGTCACTGCAGAAACTGAGCTAAAAGCTAAACAGGAATAAACACTGAAAGAGAGTGGCAAATGCATCATCTGTTACATGAAGTTGTTGACAGTAGTAGTAGTGTAGCTTCCCCTCCCCACACCGGATGTTGTCATATTCAAAAACAGTTTCATCCTATGTAGGGATAAAACAGAGAGAACGTTGAATTAAATGTTGAAATAAAACATAACCCTGAATTAGACGACAAATATATATTAAAGGGAAAGTGGAGTTGATGTCTTCCACCAGCCGAGAGATTGATTTAGGCTTGATGCGTCCATGCAGACAGAATTTCAGCCCAGCGAACCTTTGAAAAAATGTAGCACTAAGTAGACAGCTTCACCATGAAAGACATGGTGGACAAGCAAAAGCTCCTACTGGTGAAGGCTCACAAATATGAGCTTTCAGCCCAAAAATACCACTATGATCCACGGATTCTGAAAATCTCTCAGAAATAAACTATTGTCACTCTTGAATAATATGAAAGGCTTCAAAAAAGTTGGGAATGGTTGTGTTTTTTACTTTGTAATGTATTGTGGTGGAAGATTGTGTTTTGCACTGTAATTTTTGCAAACATAGTGTCCGTAACGTACGTGCGTCAGGCATAAATCTAGTGTTAGCCTTTAGCAGCAGAACTACAGATATAACTCCTACTATGAGCTTTATCGAAATGTGCCTATGTCCAGTCTAGTCTCAAAAGCTGTCTGAGAAAAAAAAAAGTTTCCTCAAATATCTGTGAAAAGATAGGTTGGTTTCAGGAGCAAAGAATTACAGCGTAGTTCTGCAATAGAGTTCCACCTATGTATCAAGTCCACTCATTAAATTTCCTTGCTCCTAAATATTTTACCAATAGCTGTCAGTAGTGTTATATTAAAGTTGAAGCATTCGGGAAAGACAAACTTCATGTGGCCTTCCGATTAGCTCAAGAAAAGACAGCAGAAAAATTCATGAAATGGGTTTCCATGGTTGAGCAGCGGCATCCAAGCCATACATCACCAGCACATTATAATGTGATGGATGCAGTGGTGTAAAGTATGTCTGAAGTATGTCTTGATTTTAAAGAGTAGGCACATTCTCTGGAGAGAAGAATCAAGATCCAAATACCTGTTGGACAAATCTGGGTTTGGGGTCTATTAGGAGACTGGTACTTTTATGACTGTAGCCTGCTATAACCTCTCGGTTCCAAAATGCATATGTTTTTGCCATGCTGAATAGAGCAACTGCGGCCAATCATGACAGTTCCACCAGGTGTGCCCTGGTGCATTTCTGAAGTGTCCCAGATGTGGCTTGCACTTGCTGCTTCTAGACTGCAGATGATCTATTTTTGCTGCACCAAGTCCACGTCAATGTAGAGCAGAGTGGATCATTTCGACAGCAAGTCAACAGATGAAAAGCAAAGTGTATATGATTGAGTTTAAAAGTAAAAGACTCCATGTGCACACTTAGGATGCATTTACTGGACTTCCATGTAATAAGAAATTATGTTCATACAGTTTTTCACAACCATAATGAATATGATCACTGAATAAAAAAAATAACTGAAAAAGTAAATATTCGAACTACCTTACCAATGACAGATCCAACTAAACAAGGTAAGATAACGAGATAAAGCCCAGGTACGTGATACGTTAGCGCTAGCCAAGTGACCACTTTACTGGTTTATGATTCTATTAAAGCCTACAGTACACTACTATAGTGAGATGTTGCAATCCTGGCATGAAATTAGTAAAACAGTGCAGAATCGTTCAGCTCTGAAAATGCTTCCAGTGGAGTAGGGTGTCTGCTGCTTGGAAGCTGTTAAACCAGGGACCTTACATATCCAGTTTAACCCTAGCATAGGAGGGAGGTTTGATGAAAGGAGGCCATAGGGCTGTTTTTCAGATGCTTTGCTTTGCTGCTCAGTTTCAGGGAGAGGAATTCTGAACTCTTCAGCAGCTCAAAAGATTTTGAGTTGAGCATTTTTATCTAATACTATTTGTCTGTCCGTCCATCTGAAAAAGATTACTTTGGTCAGATAACACAAAATTTTAACTTGTATAAATCTCTATAACACTCATATGAACCATCACATTTATCCCCAGAAGTACATCAGGCCGTTTTTTTGTTTGTTTTATTTTTTCATTTTTGCTGCCCTTCCATTACACAGCTTTTTCTGTAATTGATTTGTTCACATAATCCATCATCCTAAATCCATGCAGAAAAGGGCAACACAACAAAAGCTTTCTAAGTATCCACAGCTTAACATCAAACTCTTGATTTTGATGGAAAAATAACAGGTCTTTCAGACCCGAGTAAGTCACACACTCTTTTATTATATGATGATTTTGATGTTTTTCAATCGTTTCCTAAGTGTTTTTAAATACAGCCCTACAGTATGTATGCCTGCCACCCTGCATATCTTCAAACATGTCTTCCAATCAGTTTTGTGTCCACTGATTGGTTAAGCTCTCTAAATTCATACAGGTATCAAAGTTCAGCTCTTTTAAGAGTCTGTTTTGAGTTCAGCTTTTCTTGTTTGTTGATCATTGCAATACAATCAATATCAATCATTGGAATCCTCTGGGAACTTCGGAGGTAACAGCATGCAGTCCAGAGCATATATGACTATGTGGAATTAACATTTTGAAAACTATGCCAGATGGCAGATTTAAGTGACACAAATTATTAGAGATTACTCAGGTTTAAGTGAAGAAGAAAAAGCCAAAAGCCTTTGCACTGTCATAAAGCGTTAATGGAGATGGAAATCATAGTCAGCATTTTTTGGGGCTTAGCACCTGCACAACAGTGCTACCTGCAAACAGTACTATACAAACAAAAGCAATTTCTGCAAGACTGGACATCTTACTACAGTAAATCATTTTTATTTACAAGCCTAATGTATTTCATAAATTACTAGCATTGCTGCACTCAACACAGAACTGCAATAGTCATGTATTTTACTCTTTAGATCAAAGTTTCAAAATGCTAAATTCTGCAAATGAATCAGAAAGATAGATTTGATAAGATGATAAAACCCTGATAAAGTCACCCAAATGTATAAAATATAGAGGATGCATTATGACCACAGCCACTTCCTTCTTGTTCAACAGATTTTTTCTCAGATTTAGTTCTAGATTCTTTCTACCATTCTAAAAGATTCCAAAGTTTCCTATAAAAAAGTTTCAGTTGTTTTTCACTCAGAATATAACTGTTTGTATTGCTGATTTATGTCCTCTAAAATAACACCATAAGTTCAGGTCATACAGATCATAACCTACTCACTCACAAGGTTTGGTGGATTTTAACAGGTCTGGAAACATGAAGAACACAGAAGACTGCTATATCATGTTGAACACAACCAGCTACTTTTTAGAACTTGTTTTAATCTCATCTGTTCATTAATTATTAAAATACCCTCATTAATTAAATATCCTCTCCCAGGATTTTTATTTTTTTATTTTAGCACTTTTCTGAGCAGTACCTTTATACAACAATTTAACAGATAATATGCTTGCAACCATGGTATATAAATATTAAACTTTTTTTTCTATTTTAATACATATTTCATTTCAAATTATTGTTATTATTATTGTAACTATCAACATTTTAAAATATTTCCTCCTGCCGGATCATTTCACTCTCAGAGCTCCACTGGCATAAGAACAATCCTGCCTTAGTTCTTTCTTGTACCCCTACTCTGTCGTATTCATGTTTGTTTTTGTGTGCCTAAGACAAGACATTATACAGCCAGAGAGAAGGAGCTTCTTCACAAACCTTAACCTGTCAGTTAGATGACTAAACCTGCACTCAAAGGTATAGTGGAGGATGTTTTTTTTCCGGATGGATCATCAAAAATAAGTGGTCCTCCTAATCGTCAATCATTCTAGTGATATGTATACGTAAGGCCGTACTATGTGCTTGTCTCCATTTTCACTTATTGCCAAAGATGTTGCGAGTCTAACATAGTGGAAAAATTGCAAATCTTCCTTTGGAAAGTAAGCTTGTATGAGTGATGCAAACGGCAACTTTTAAACAGAGTGTGCATGAGGAGATATGGGCTCTCACATGCGGTTAAGGGTTCTTCATGTGCATTTGTTCTTAAAAGTGGAGAGGGCGGGTCTTTTCAAAAATTCAGGAAAATCCTCCACTATACCTTTAAGACAGTTCTCACATGAAACTAGGAAGCACAACAGTGTGGCAACAAACTCTCATTATTTATTTAACTGGAAAAAACCTTCTAACATGGTTCAACTAAATCAAATTCAGTGTTTTAAGTGGTGCAAATTACAGCGTGACAACTATGTCCTGGATCCATGCAGGATTTATCTGCTCTTCTAACAGCTGCCCCTCAAACTGATTCTCAGTTCAAGGACTCTGTTATCATACAATTCCCATGAAATATATTTACATTTAATGATCTGAGTGAATTTGTCTCTGGAGAGCCAAAATAAATCAGTAGTAGCACATGTTTGGTCCCACCAATGAGATAACAGGCATGTAAAGTTTCAGTCAGTAAAATGCTATGGGATGTGATATATGGCCTGCTAACAAGGGATTTTTATGCTATCCTTCCCTTTGCAGAAAGCTCGCCTGGCCAGGATACGAATATCCAAAACAGGAAGCTCAAGTGCCCTCCTTCACAGCAAGCGCAACGGCTTGTTCAATGAAGCTCTCGAGCTCACGGTAAGATTTGTTTCAGCACATAATTTTTTATTTAAAAATTCAACCAACCCACAGGAGGTAGTTAAGTTTGTATGTATTTTAAGTGTGAACCCATAAAAAGCTGACCTTTGCTCTAGCCGAGCTTCTAAATTCTAGAGTTGCTCCTCTATATCTTAATTATCCCAGCATCCCATCAGAGGAACTAAGTGTGTTCTCATTTGGCGAGCAGCAAATCTAATGTGAGCATCTCTGAGCCCAGCTGCCCAGCTGAGGAACAGGCTTCAGGCAATGCAGCAAGAAGTGTACACACAACACAAGGATGTTCCCTGCCTTTCCAAAATCTTGTGGTTTATGAGGAAGCACTGTAGTGGCCCTAAGGGCTGACACAGCACAAAAACAAGTGTTTGTTCCACATTTCTAACTCATTCTTCCAGCGTTTTCTTTGCTCTATCTCTCTATCCAGCAGCACTGGTGAATACACAATCAGAAGGGCACCAGTGAGACTTCTTGGCAAAGAAACAACTAATTCACAACAAACTGCAGGGACTGCCACTTGCCTATATGCCGTATGCTTTTGACTTTATTAATTAGATGAGTGTTAAGAGGTTCAAGTTGTGCACAAACAAGAATATGTTATTCTATGGGAACCTAAGAGATTTTTTTCCCCTTTCCTTTACATGATAAAGTGTTACATAACCAATTTAATCGCCAGCTAAGGAAATCCCAACATTAAGGCTTGATACAAGTAAAGTGAAATTGTTTGTTTTGTTTGTACATTTGTCTTTAAACTTTTTATAAACATCTACTTTTTCCCTCATATCCCAACATACAGAATAAACAGATAGAGTGGGGCTGTGAAAGTTACATTTTCTTTTGTTGAAAAACTATCATCACTGCTAAAATAAGCAGTGAATTAATGCAGAAAATATTTTCCAGTCATTTCAATCAACCTTGTCCTTGGATTTAACCCATCTCTTAGAGAGCAATGTCTGTTTTTTTTAATGGAATCCAAACCAGGACTCACCCTTCACATGTGTTTTAGGGGTCTCACAGATATGTGAAAGTTTCTGATAGCTGCAGTGTATGTGTGGGTGTGTGTCCGTGTGTAGCTCATTAATTCCTTAACCTAGATAGTTAAATGAAGTCTCCTTAATTGTCATAGCTCAGAACAGAGGACCCGGTATTCAGGCAAGACAGACAGTGGGAAACTAAAGGCATCTATTAACATCAAACAGATCTGTTGTAATAGCTGCTAGGATGTCTGTGGCAAGAAAATCTGGAGAGAGGAAACACAGGTTAGTGACCATGTAAATCTAATGGAGAAAGGTTATAAATGTGAGTCACTAACCTGGTTTACAAGTTCAGCCCATAGCCAGAGAATGAGGTAGGATCCAGCCGATGCGCCGCCAACAAGATGCAGCGGGCGCCGCCTGGAGTGTGCCAGATGCTTCAGCCCTGGAGAACATGCATTAGTCCGAAGCCAGGTCAGGCAAACAGATCAGAACGGGAACAGACTGGAGAATGTGGATCAGATGAGCAGTGAAGGAATGAGAGATTTAGCCAGTCATCAGTGCCAAGATCATGACATTAATGATCATTTTGCTCACTGGTTTTCTAAATTTCTAAATATTTTGTGTTACATATTCAATTTTTTATTTCAGAGACCAGTGTAATTAAATGCCTAGCAAACATTGCACCTAGTTTCAATATCCTTCTATTTTGAAAAAAAACAACTCACAAGCACCTTTCCTTTTGCACAGGAAAGGTGCTTTAACTCAACTTCTTGACTTATTGGCTCTCATTAGCTTTACATCACAGTTTGTGTTTACCTGCCTGGCACATCTAATTAGAGATGTATCTCATTAGTATTGGCTGGTAAGGTTTTGGTGACAAACACTCTATCGCTAACTCTTTGCCCAGCAGTTTGAGCAGCATGGTGGTGGTGCGCACAAGGTCAGACAGATGGTTTTTATTACTGGTTCTGATAAATGTATGAAAGTTAAACAAATTCTTAATTGCTGTCAAATGTTTAATCGTTAGGAGGCTTTTTACACACAGTGTGCCGGGCACCACACAGAGCGACACAATGTGTTTTGTCACCCGGCAGATCAAGCTGTTTCCACTCTACAGTATGGTGGCCACCTGGGTAGTGAGGCACGGCCGCCTCCAGATAGACTGCTGATATGGCTCCTGCAGTCACATGTATGGAGGGGAGACAGAAATAGCTCAGCCCTAAACACCTGTGACCTATTGCTGCGTTAGCTACAGATTAGCAATAGCAACACAGGTGAACCAAGGAACACTGAGTCATCAGCGCAGCAATGTACCCCCTCAGCAAAGAAAGCATCTGCTTTCAACAACAGCCACATGCTTAGCAAACAGAAAACAGCTCCTGCAACTCCTTCTAACATCGTATTTTGCTTGCTTCACACTGTTGCTGTGTTGTAAAGGATAAAAGTAGATCTTTCAGCTGAGCTACAGGTACGGCTGAGGAATATGAAAGCAACTTATTAGAAGTCTGGGAGGAAATCATAACAGGACAGGAGCCCTTATGATGTAGTAAACTAAAGATAAAACTTACCAGATTCAGGGTGAAGATATGTACTAACCTGTTTGGTTTGAAAATGAACAATTGATCTGATTTATTTGGGATAGATAATAATTTATTAAAAAAACATGTTCACTTATATCTCAGGACATTTTTACGAATATTAATTTAGTTCATCAGTTTGAATACAAAAGCGAAGGTCGTTCATAGTATTTACGTAGATTTATTTCACATGGAGTATATTATGTACAGTAAGCTGTGTATTTCTGTAGATTTTATTAATTGATGCTAACAGTTAATTATGAATAAAAACATGTATAACTTCAGTTTTCCATTGCATTAAAATATTATACTACTCCTGTATACAAAAGAAAATGTTTATTTGATATGATGGTATTTCCCATTGAGCCTGTTTTTTTTTCTACTGCTTAATTTTCAATCAAAATGGTTTTATATAAAACTCTATTTACATAACTCTACGGAGGTCAAATAATCTCAAGATGCACACACACGAGATTCCCACATGCACAGAATGATTCAGAAATGCAGAAAAGATAAACACATCCACAGGACAAGATTCACAAACATGTTTCTGATGCATACACATTCATATCGTGATTTACAAGCTTCTTGTGCACTGTGAACCTCATTGCATTTGTGTGTGGACAGAATCCCCTGACTTGACTCAATTATTAAATACATTTTTTGCAGAATGATTTGCAGTTAATCAGAAGTCTACCTCGTTTTAGCCATTAGGAAAAACACACCCAAAGTGAGCGAGGATAAGCTTAAAAGCCAATCACATGAATGTGTTCACGCAGCGCTACACGTGGGTATAGTAGGTGTGGTAACAAAAGCAAAGTGGTAATAAAAAAAAAGATCAAATGTGGGAAATGTCAAATGTTTGTAAATCAAAGGCTTCACCAATTAAAAAATATTTTGACCATTGTGGAACCAAAATCTGTTATGTGATAATGGGACATTTTGTAAGCTTTTTTTTTTTTCTCCATGTTTTGAAGTTATGCATCAGATAACCTTTGTTTTACCAGTAAGTTAACCTTATTTTGTTTGAAATTTATCTTTATCTAAGTTGTAAAATGTTTCAGTTGTTTTGTAAATTTTTTTGCAGTGAATAAATATGGGTTGTTTTTTTTAAAACAAAGTAATAAGTACATCCAAGAAGCAATCCCCTGTTGCCACCCACAGCCTTACTGTACAAACTGCTATGAAGGTGATGGGGAGGACTGAAAAGCTCTTCTTCGGTCTATCTATGAGCAGCCTGTACTGCTGAGAGTACTGCTGGACCCATCCAACATCCTTCATAAGAAATACGAGCTCTTGCCTTCTGGCAGAGGGTTAAACATCCCAAAAAAGAAACTGAAGGGCTTTAAATACTCTTGCAATGGAAAAGTGTGCAATAATTTTGTGTTCTGCGTGTTGTTTTAGTATTTTATGTTATTTTTATTATTTTTTTTTATTGTTATGAGTGTGTATGTAGCCTATGTGTGTGTTTTTAGGTGGTATTTGTTTATATGTGTATTTATTGTTTCTAATGGCAGCTCCTAGTATGCACTGTGCACTTGGGTTCATGACAAATGTCCCCTAGGGAACAATAAAGTATCTTCTGTTCTATTGTTGGAAAATGTTGGTTTTGGTACTTAGAAGGCCGCACAAGAAGATACTCAGTTGTTATGTAACAGTCTTCTAAAAAGGAGGCTCACTGTTTTTCATAATGTTCTTTGTTTTATGAAGAATTGCTCTGTGTGAAATCATCTCCAGAGGTTCTAGAGGGGTTCTTAGAGCAGAGCCAGCCTTCTGTATCAGCTTGTTGAGCTTCATCAAGTCATTTGCATTATGCTGTTACCCCAGGAACGTTGGAGGAAGAGATCACACTTTGCCTAACTGACATTTTGAAGCTATGTAGCATCTTGCTGTAAAAAAAAAAAAAGTGAAACCTGTTGCTTATGATCTAGATCTACTTATCCCCTTCTTATGATATATAGTTTAATCATAAATGTTAGTAGGACTTTATGATAGAAAAAACATTGTTGGCTTGCATAGCTATCTCGCTTATTTTAATTGTTGCAGAATTTAACAAATTAACATTAACAATTAAACAATATCTAAAAAAAACAGGTTAACTAGAAAAAGATAAGAGAAATGCTTAACTTTTCGCTCCACTGTCATTGCCAGAAGCTATGTGCAGGTCTCAATAGTTTGCACTCATTACGTGGATCTTTATAAATGACAAGTTATCCTTTATATTTAGAATGAAAATGTTTCTATTACATTTTACTCTTTTTACTTTTGTTAAGTAGAATCCCATTCATACATACACATTTTGCAGTTATATATTTGTAAGCCTCCTCATCTGTGTCTCTGTCTCAGCTCAGCTCTGTCTGGACCTTCCTGTAAATGTCTGCAGAGTTGGAAGTGCCACCCGGCATTCATGCAAAACTATGTTTATGCAAGTAAACTCATAAACGTCAGCCGAGTTGTGTAAAGCATAAGAAATATGGTAAACAAGTCATTAGAAAGTTCCCTTTAGCGAGCACAGACAAGACAGCAAAATGTCACAATGGAAATTTGATGTGAACTGTATACCGAGGAACTATTATGTGCCAGAAATGTTAGACTGTCTGTGCCCTAGATGTTAGGAGAATCTCACAATGGTAAATATTCTGTCTGACTGCAAATGCTGACGGCTGACTGCTCTCAGTGTAAAACTATGAATCCCAGTAAAACTCTACCTGTCTTGTTCTTCTGTCTGTTTTTCCGATTGAAGAGACTTCCATACAAGATCAACTTTACAGATCAGGTATGGAGAAAGCAGACGGCGGCACACCTCCCACGTCACATGGGTGTTTTCCCAGAGAGAGAGTGAAACCTAACATTTTTATTGGTGTGTTTGTGTGCGCTTTAATATTCCAGGGTTCCAATGAGGATGAGAAGCATTTAAGCAAATCTACCTCTTTAATCGAGAGCCAGCACCACCACCTGCTGCACTGTCTGGAGAAAACTACGGTGGGTGCAAGCATATAACTGAATACAATCTATCTTTCATAAATTATTTTTTGTTCTGTTTGTTGCTTTATTCTGAATCACACTGAAATATGTCAGCTTTGGCTCCTTTATGTATTATTTTCACCATATATCTCGCTTTTACCCCCCTTCTAAGGAATGCAAATATAGTAAAAAAAAAATGTAAAAAAGAAAGTATACTTTTGGCACAGTCATATAAAGCTTTTACAAAAATAATGATTACCATTAATTACAAAGTCTGTTCCAAGTAACTTAGACTAGGTGTGCATTCAAAGATGAGTCCTTGATATAAACACAGATGACCCTTTCTTCTTGCTTTTGCTCCATAGAACCACGAGTTTGTGGATGAGCAGTATTATCAGCAGAGCTACTTGGAGGCGGGGCTGCAGAACTATCCGTCCCGAAGCCCGTCGCTGTCCAGCCAAGATGGCGTGACGGGGACATGTTGCAGCAGGCGAAGCAAGAAGCACCATCACACTCCTTTACCAAACTCCAGCGCTCCAGCACACATGCAGCCATTGAAACACTCGCACTCACACCCACAAGGCTTGCAGGAGCTCAGCACCATCCATATTCAGCCCCTAAGTACCAGGTAAGGTCATGGTTTCTAAAATAAACCAAAAAATAAGATTTAGTTTTTTAAAAAGGTAAAGAAAAAAAACATTATAGTCAGCTCTTCTGTTTCTGCTGCATTGCATTTTAGAAAGTTTAGGATTTTCTAGTGTGCTCATTGTACTTTATTTTAACCCAAAAGGTGACAGTATCTTTAAAACATTTCTGCTTTAGAAAAGTCCAAAAATCTCATTTCAATGTTTTCAAAAAAGTAGAGTTAACATACAACAATTGGAAAAGTTGTGTTTTTACTACACTTTAGATCACTTTAGATTAGAAAATTAGATCAACATTTAAATAATTATTAAATAAATGTTTAAGACTATGCAGTGTTTACAAAAATATTCATACCTCAAATTTTTTTATTTTTTTTTTAAGTCAGTTAGGATTATCAAAATCATTTCTATTAACTAAATGACTTAATAAGGAGTGGCAGCAATATGTTATTTCCTTACACTCAGAATAGTATTTTGTAAAAAAAAAAATCACTTTAATAAAGTTCTGACGATGAAGTCATATTCCAAAATATTTGAGTTAATTACAGTGAAATCTGGGGATTGGTTTGTGGTGACACTCTGAAACAAAATACTTCTGTGTCAAGGCATTGAAAGATAAAAAATATGGAACAATTTATCAACCATCTGAAATATGCTCACTGGGTACAAATTCCTTGTGGCTGAATAGGCCAAGGTGACTTGTCCAAATAATTATGTGTAATTATAAAAAGAATAGGAACCTGCAGGGACTATACTGTTAATGGATGTGATGTTTTGTGTAGATTGGGTTATGCAAGAGAGTCCCATTATCCACAAAGATAGAGAAATGTAACAACATGGGCCAAAAGTGTAGATGAGGCCATTTCCAGAAAATCAGCATTGAAAGCCAGACGGCTAATGCATTCAAGAAAAAAGACCTTCATTTCTGATGCAGTGCTGGGGTCTGATTTAATGAAGTTAACTTTGTTTTGCCAAAATGATCTTTGTCACATTTGAAGTGCAAAGGGAAACCTGAACACATCACCTCAATTGTAAAATAATAGATGGCTGCATTATGCTGAGGGAGGGTTTGGTTGTTGGAGAGACTCCTCTAATAGGTGGCACCATAAGACAATAATCTTACGCCAGAGTTAGACTGTGGGCACAAATGGGTCTACAAAATGGAAATGAACTGAAAGCAGCATAGCTTGAGGACACAAAGTCACTTTCCAGATTCATTTCTATTCAATAATAGATTAGAAGTTACCTTCACATACCTCTAGTTTTAGAGCTACAAAGAAAAATCAGTGATAAGAGCTCATAGGTGTGTGCAACAAATCACACTATCAGGATGAATTGGCCACAATTATTATCAAGATTATTACCAGAAGCTTTTAATAAGATACCCAAAATATTTGACCAAAGTAAATTAAAAGTCAATTCTATTAAATACTAGATATATTTCTGCAAACTTCCGAATTTGAAGAAAGTCATTAAAAAGGTGTTCTTGCTAGGGCAAGTTAATGCAATAATTTCACAATAATTGATTACACTTAATGCTGATATTTACTTTATCGTGCTTTAACGCTTTTATTTTAGTATTTTGCTGATTGCTGCATCATAGGGGTTTAACTCATACTCTGGAACAGTAGGTAGCAATAATACGCCGATAACCTGTCTGTCAGCCTATTGAGATGCACCATTAGCCGAAGAATGAATGAGTTGTATGGAAAAAAAAGAGGACCGAAAAAACCACAAATGTACAACGTGCACCTGCAATTGCTCTCACAGCAGACTACTGGACATCATTCGGTAATCATACCTATTTCAGAGTTATGGCACATTATATAGATGAAAAGTGGGCGCTACATCGGCATGCTTTGTCTGTAAAGAAAACTGAAGCGGGATATTTTGCTGAAAGATGCGCGGGACACTTTACTGAGGTTATACTTGTGTGCCTTAGGAACCAGCTTAGTACAGAGGAATAAAAAAAAAACTTCAGTAAAATATGCACTTTATGTTCTAGTCCAGTTTAAAAGGAAGTTTCATGTGTGTTTTATTATTTTTTTGTGCTGCAAACCGGTATTGAACATAGACTGGGCTGTTGATCAGAACTGACCCGTTTGTCCTGATTGTGGCTCAGGATTTTGTTTGTAGGGAATGTCCTATCAGTGGCAATAAGCTTTAATTCATTATTCCTATTATTATTTATGTTAATTTATTAAATTTTGTTACGTTTTTTAAGTTTAGATTTACACAAAATGTTACTGATAAGTGCTGATAAGTGTTTGCACGATAAATGTTATGACACTTGCATTCATACAGCAAAACATTGCAATAAAATTGCTATTCACACTACTTTTGATTTCATTGTTGGAGTTTGCTTATACAATGCGATTAATCAGGCAAAAGATGCTATTAATTCCGATTAAAGATTTGAATCGTTGCTAGCCCTAGTTTTTAGCACCAACATTTAGCAAGTGTTGCTTAATTGACATTTTAAAACAGAAAATGTTTAGTCTGTGAGAGTAGAGAGAAAAGCGTTTTCTTTTTCTTAGGAATTTTATTTCCATATCTTTATTATCTGAAAACATTTTGTAATTGCAAATGTAAGGCCAGTTTGTCCATCATTGACATTATTTTGTGTTTCAACTTATCTACTTTGTTTGCCATTCTAGAAATAGATAATTTCTTTCTAAGCAGCAAAAAAGTGTGTGTATCAGTAAATACAGCAAACATTTCAATGACTATCATTGCTTAAGGGGTACTCTCAATTTTCATTGAAAACTACAGTTGTTCTCCTCAAACCCAATTCTGCAGCTATATTCACGTTTTTAATTTCTTTAGGTTTATTCTAACGCATGATTTCCTTTCATTTCCCCCCACAGTCGTTCCAGTCTAAACATGCGTATAGAGGAGCCAGCTCCTCTGAACTGCCAGAGCAGCCAGATCACAACAGCAATCATCACCATTCCTACGCCACCAGTGACGACTCCGGAAGGTGAAGCTCACCATCCCACCAATCCCTCCCTTCGAAACGTCGTGAAGGTTTCTGCGCTGTGAAGACTAGACTGTAGAAGCACAGCACAAAAAAAAAAAAAACTCAGAGAGACCCACAGAAGCAGACAGAGAAGGACTCACAGAGGTGGAAAGGGCTTGCAGACAGAATTTGGCCCTGTTGGAGCCTGCCCTCTGCTGGTCATGTGTTATAATGGCACGGACTCCCTGTACACATGGAGGATTGATTTCAGAGACAGTTTCTTCATGTTAGTGGTCGGCAGATGTGTGTGTTTGTATGTGAATGTGTGAGTAAAAGAACAAAAACAAAAAATAAATATGGAATCTTTTAGGATGAGGACTGTTTACCTCGAAATGTCACAGGTAAGTTAGCAGAGTTTCCTATCTTTCACTGTGCACAAAAGCACCTTTGTTATGATTTATGCTTGAGTTTAACCCATTTTAGTCAGGAAATACAAAGGGGGATGAGGACAACTTAAAAGGAAGGGGAAACAAAAACAATATATATATATAAATATATATATATCCCTCATTGATCAATGCCTTTGAAATAGAGTACTGCCCTTTTCAGCCATTTTGGTCCACAAACCTCCTTTTCAGGTCAGGCATTATTCCACTTTAGTATAAATTCTTAAAAAACCCAAAAATCAATGGGTGTGTGTGCAATGGCGTTACCACTGAGTGTATCTGAATGAGTGCTTGTAAATTAAAGACAGGTTATGTGTTTTTTCTGAAAGGAGGTGTGTGTGTGTTGTGTGTGTGTTTCTCTGAGTTGATTGAAAACTTGTATTTCAGTTATTCTGGAAGTATCTATGGCTCAGTATATGATAAATATGACTAGCTGCCACTCAGAAGGGTTCTTTGCACATACTTCTGTCAAACAAATTCTCAGCTGCAATGGTTTCACACAGTTTGTGCTTAGGTTGCAGGACTTAATATTGTTAGATTTTTTTTTTCACTGAATTTACTTTTAAATTATCTGCCTCCAGTAGCCCACCTGGTCTTGAGAAAACCCATTTTATTTTACAAATAAACTAACGTTTTCTTGGAATCCAAATCTCCATGATGAAAAGCACAAAGCATTTGCTGAGAATTTGCTGACATAAATCTGCCCTGAGCCCGTGATCTTTGTGAATATTGTTAATAGAATATTTTGTAATATTTGACCATCGTTTGGCAGAAGCAGTGAATCTGTCCTCTTGTTCTCGCTCTCCTCTTTACATCCTTTTCTCTCTCTCGTTGTTGTCCTGTTGTATCCCTAACTTCTGTGTGAACAACAGTATGCTTTCTGTAGTTTTTATAGCTGTCAACATTTTTATTTCTTCCCTAAACTCAGCGAGCATTTTCAGAGTTGTTGAGTATATGTATGAACTCTCTGTGTGGTTAGCAAACTTGGTGTTTGTACTTTTTGTCCTCGATGTTAAAGGATCTCTTTTTTACTTTATCTTCTGGAGACTTTAAAGTAAGGAAATCTGTTGTAAAAAAAAATATTATCACAAGGACCTAAAGTTTGCTAGATGAACAGGATTTAGCAGATCTCTAAAAGACCAAAATGCCAGCGAAGCTTCACAAAAATGTCTGCAAACCTTAACTTACTCCCAGTTAAAGTCAGTCCATGTAAGCAATGATGATATCTGAACCCACACATTTGGCCTTTTCTTTTTCCATCTGAAATACTAGTTTATTGATGTCCATTCTGTCTGTAAATCAATGAGAAAACTCTCAATAGTTCATTAAAACGGGAAAAAAGCAGCAGACTAAATATCCACCTTTGCCAATCAAGGGAACTTATCATTCTTTTAATTTTTCTTGTAACTTTTTTCATATTTGTTAATTCCTATATTTCTATTGTCAAGAACCCTTAATTTACTTTCAGTTTTCCTTTCAAGTCATGTTTCTGCTTCAAACTTACCAGATCTTAATTTTCCATTTCTGAATGTTTTAAACATTTAAAACAGCCTGAAGGAAAGAAAGCCTTTAAAAGGTAGTTATGAATGCAAATGAGAGTTATCTTTCTAAACCTGAACAGTTTTTCCTTTACTCATGAGGGTTTCACTATTCTACAGAAACGTATCTATACTATTTTCCAAGGCTCTGTTACAAAGGCTCTGCATTTAGGCTTGTAGCTCGCTAGGGCCATACTTATTATTCCAGATCTGAGAAATATTTAAAATGGCCAAATATAGCAAAAAGTGGTTTCTAACACCAGAGCCAGAACTGGGTTCATATTGTATTAAAATCAGTTAACCAAACAGGAGTTATGTAAAAACAGCAGAAGTAAACTACAGCAGCTAGAAGTCCGACTTTTCAGCACCATCACTCAGTATTTTACTCATGACGGTTGAGCTCCACTATAGTAAGGGGTTAAAATGTTTTTGGAACACCATCTGCCATGTCATACAAGATTCATAAGTTTGTTTAAATTTGTTTTTCTTTGCAACCAATATTTTTTTAAAGAAAATAATTTCAAGCTAAGGCTAAACATTTGGTTGTTTAAGGGTAATCGTAAAAAAAAAAGTGGTGGGTGATATGTGCAACAATCGTGTGTTAACAGGGTACATAGGGAAAGAAAAGCCAGCTGTAAATTAGTGCAGTTTCTACGCTGAGAAACTTTATTTACAACCAAAGTTGATGGTCTGGCTGCTGACTACACCGGAGTCGTCGGTCATTTTGAAGCAGTACCTTCCTTCCCTTGAAGCCAGTATCTACATTTGTTTATTATCCTGAGGTGAAATGCAATTTAAAAAGAAACAGCTATCAGGTCATTTGAAATATTTACTTTTACATATTTTTGTTTGTAAATTGTTTGGAATTTGACTCTTTGCCGAGATCAGTGCTCGCTATTGATTTCATGTTTCAACTACACCTCAATTTGACATGTTATTTGAAATGTGGCTTGGTTCTGTTTTTTTTGCCACAGAAAAATTTTGCTTTCTGAGGTTTGAGATTTTAAAAAAAAATCACTAATATAGTAGTGCCCTTTGAGAAATGTGAAGTTTCAAAATTCTATTTTTATGTTAGAGAAGTGCGCTTTGAAATAATGTATCGGATTGGGAAAAAAATCAGGGGAAATGCTGATATTTATTTTTTATATTTTCAAGATTTCATGCTTTTCTGGCTATAAAATATGCTGTTTGCCCTTTAAATTTTGTTGATTAAGAGCACGCGTACTGAAGTCGAGGTGCAGCATCTGCTTGTTTGAAAGCAATACTAGAACCGGTGTAATGTCTGCACTCCTGAGGGTTTGCTTTTTTTCTTTCTTTGCAGAAGTAAACACTTTAAGAACATGGGTAACTGTCATATTAGAGCATTATTTTTATGAAACTTTGAGGTCAGCTCAACTCCTCTGTTATACCTCAGACCCCATTCATCCCTAGGTCAGTAAAAACTCAAAAAGAAAACTACAAATTATTTGCAAAATGGCACCAAAATGGACCTAATAAAAGTTCTGGTAGCTTAGTACAGAGTAATAACTGCCTATATTAACTATTTACTTTTATTAAAAAATGTACCATTAAAAATCAGAAACTTAGGCAGAAATCATTTTGTTGTATTGAAAAAAATGAATGGGACAGAAACTTCACATTAAAAACTTTAAATCTACAGACTTTAACCAGTTGTATCTGACAGTAGAAACTATATTTTTGCTGTTGGGGAAAAATTTTCCAACAACAGGTTATTTTTCCCAGCTTTTTTTTTTTATGACACCGTTTGGAATAGTATGTTAGCATATAATAAGCTAGATGTGTTGAAGGCTCACATTTTTATTTACAAACGATGAAAATCGGTCTGTGGTCGTGTGTGTCTCTGTTACGTACTCTACTTTTACTGTCTCTTCTTTCTCTGAGCTCAGTCTCCCTTTTCTCTTTGCTTTGCCCTCCTATGCCACCTGTTGTTGTTCAGACTACTGCTGTGCGTATCTTGTCATGTGTTGTATATTATTTATGACCTTGTCTTGTGTCCCAACTGTGAAACGCCTGATAAAACATCTATATCTGCCAGAAAAACGTGTCGTCTTTTTCCCCTCATCCTTAAATCTTTCCTGTGTTTCTACTTGTGAAAAGAGAAAAACAGGTAAGACAACATAAACAGCTTCAGGGCATTTTCCAGGTCAGAATAGGTGTTGACCTAAAGGCTTCCATCAAAGCTTTGAACCTTCAGGCTGTTACTTTGAAGTTGTTTGTTTAAAAGGAGAATAAGCCCTGAATGTTAGACCAAAGTGTATGATCATTTTCTTTATATTAGTCGTTGCACAAAGTGAGTCACTAATCTACAGTGTACATAAGTAAAATGTCTGTCAAGCCTAAAACTATTGCCCTCCCTGATGATGTGAAAAAGCTTCAAAATAAATTAATCGTTTATTGCAGTACCCATAATTTCAACCAAAAAAAAAAGGTTTCTGTCCTGACATCACATCACTGCAACCATACGGTTTGTCAAGAGTAATTTAACAGTCCTTTTCAGCAACAAAGGCTCCACCTTAGTCTGTCATGTGATTAAAAAATACTTAGAAAATCTCACATATCCACAATAGAGCACAAATGCATAACAAATAACTGATAGTTTTTTTTGGTTTGTTTTTTACAAAGGGTAGGTTCCCCTTATCAGTGACAGGAGTTCTTTGAAATATAAGAACATTTAAACATTAATTGAAATCTGAATATGGGTAAAAACTTATAATTTACAGGATATTAATTGAAAACATTTAGGTAAAACTCCTTAAATCCTGTAGAAAAAAGGGTTATAGCATGGCATTTGTACACCATCCCTATTTCTAAGACCCTTTCGTGGGAAGCAGGTAAAAAAAGTTTTATTTTTCATGAAGGCGCATACTGTATATAAAATGGTGGTAGTTTATTAACAAAATCACCAGTGCCACACTCTTCCCCCATTTGTCGATCCACGTAAAACTCTCCATTTATTAATAATTAATATTCTTCACCACAAACATTTTAAAAAGTAGGGTCATGATTTTTAAACTTCTCTTAATCATAAATAGTCCTCATTCATATCTTATGATCTCCTGCCCTCCATGTTTTTCTTCAATGGACTTCATTGTTGGGCGTAGGTTTGCACAGGGACCATAGGGACATGTCCCTACCAAAGTTTTGGACCGACCTAATTGTCCCTACCAATAATTCGATGTGAATAACATGTTTATAATTTACAATACAGCGTTGTTGCAGCAGTAGAGGACTTGTGGATGGAGAATATTGACACACGAAAACATTTTTTTATCTTAAAAGCAAAATGTTGTTTTGTTTTTTTATTGTGGTGTAATTCCAGCTCAAAGTGGGTCGCTCTGTGAGCTTAAGACATGTTTTAGAGTCTCTATACTCCAGTTAATGATTAATCTATTACTGAATTTGTTGACATTATTTCAATAATAGATTCATCTGATGAATAGGCTCTATGCACAACTCCACCACTTCCTGAACTTCAGGAGGCTCCTTTGTTTCCTGTCTTTCATGATTGGATGCACTGATTAATCCAAGTGTGTATGACCTAAGTAACTGGCCAGACACACCTGGATTAATCAGTTCGTCCAGTAATGAAAGACAGGAAACAAAGGAGCTACCTTAAATTCAGGAAGTAGTGGAGCTGTGCATAAAGCCAATTGTTTCAGCACTAGATAAATGCATGAAACAGGATAAACAGAGTAACTACAGCCTAGATGTGGAACTTGTAGAGTGAAGTTAATGTTCTAAATGCTCAGTGTCAGCTCCTCTTTTAGTTCCAGTGCTCATGTAAATACAATACATTTATTTGGCATCCCTTGTATCTATTATTTTGCTTTGTTTAATGATACAAAGAGAACATTTAAAAGATAATAGTGGGGTTTTACCTCTGCACATTGACCTCTGCACATTTCTATATCTTAAAAAAAAAAAAACAGGATAAATCTACATATAACAGACGTATTTAGACTATGTTTGGTTCAACAGGCACAGATTTACCTTCTGCCTTTTTATCTGGTAATTTCAAATGCAAACCTTTTCAAAGTGGAAAATAGTCCTAATTCTACATTCATTAGAGCCGGAGATGCTTCAAACATTGACAAACAGCACTTTTGTGTGCAGCGCTTATAAAATTTGTATACATGTAGCAAGAAATGTTGCTTTTTGCTTTAAATGAAATACACCCTGATTTTCATGTCAAGCATAAAAAAACAAGCATGCGTATTTTTGCATAGGACCAATGACATCAGACCAACAGTGTCCCTACCAAACTTGATATCAAACCTACGCCCTTGGTTGGTACATTCAACATCTACTGCCATAAACGGAATTGTGGTCAAAATTAGGACACCATGCAGCTTGAAGTCTTTTTAGGAAATGAATTAAACCAAGTAATGACAATGATCACCAATGTTAGGTTCTTGGAAAAACCTTCTCTGAAAGCTTCTCATGATCAAAACTGTCAAAAAACAAAAAATATAACTTTCTTTTCTTCAGACTTTTACCTCCAGTTTCTAACTAAATATCTCTCCTGCACACTTGAATTTGTTGCAACTACTAGTGTGACAGCCTGCTGAACCAGCACATTCCCAACCAACTCCAGAACTGTTTACAACCCTGCTGTTCTGTGCAGTTTTTCTATTCCTCCAACAATCTGCTGTTGCCTTAATATGCATACAGTAAATATTGGTGCACAATATTTTTGACTATCCTATTCCGTAACACATTTCTCAGAATATTGAATCTGACCATACTGCTTTTGATCATTTGTTTTATCCATTACAGTAATATTCCTTTTCCTGTTTTGTATCTTAACCTTTAGGTGACTGCAAACTTCTAATTGCATGTAACTGCTGCTTGTACAGCAGAATAACCCCATTAAAGAATAATAAAGGATAATTTTACTACATAGAGGCACTGCAGGACATCCAGCAGACAACCTGTGTATAAGTGGACCAGAGCCATTTTCCAGTGGGGGGGCGGTGAGCTACAGCAGTTAATATCAGAGATGAAGGAAGCATGCTGAGATGAACCTGTTGATGAAGGAGTTGGGACAGCCTCAGCTGGACTCCTTTCTGTTAGTGTTGCCTTAAAACCTTTGATTATGACCACAGAGGACAGAAGCAATATAAAGTGGTCGGCACGTTCCCTGTTATGGTCTATGAACATCATGGCTATACATGATATAAATTATAGATTCTGTTACAATCTGCTGGCCAGAACAATTGTTTTGTTGTGTTTTTCCATCTTTTAAATTTCCCATCTGCTTTTGTTTTATATCCACTTTGGATTAGCTCAAAGGAAGTAGTAAAAAGCAAAAAAACAGGTTTAACTTAAACCCCAAAAGTGAAATGAAGGTAAAGACTAAACATCCATACAGGGGGTGTCCTCTGATTTACAGGAAAGGCCATTTGCTTCAAAGTGCTCCATGCTAACATTCAGTAATAAGAATTTTAATACACCTTCATGGCTAAAAGGATGAAAGGTGCACACAGACGCCTGGATTTTCTCCCACAGAGACAGAAAAGAAAAGCAGAGAGCCTCAGGAAGTTCACAGCAGGAACGTTTTACCAAGTATTTTAAACCATCTTATTTTGAAATGATTTCTTACAGTAAATGTGAAAATAGTTCCTCCATCCAATCTCAGGAGAGATGCATCATCATGCCCACTTAAAAAAAAAAAAAAATATATATATATATATATATATCAATTATACCTTTGCTACCAGGGGCCATGACAATGCAAATGTTTGCATGAAAATTATGCATACAGATTTTGACTTTTTAGGCTGCTTTGAAAATCACTTTTTTTTTTATCTTTTTACCATTTGTTTCTTTTCTCATCTATTAATCTGAAATCTCTTTCACATATTCCATACGTGTTATTATACAATCCTCTGTGCGCCTTAGCTTTACTAAACATTTCACTCCAAATTCATGATTTAAATCATAAACAAAATGCTCCAGCTAAAGAAATCAGCTAAAGTGCTCCTCTAATCTATTTATTAGAGAGCTCTTTGCCGTTTGTGTTGCCTAGCAGTGATGTGGGGAGTTAGTAGTTAGGCTGATTGGACTCTAATAAGGGGCAGGTAGAGAAAACATGCAGAACATCAGAGTTTATTATTCTGGAAGTGTTTGCACCTCATACAAATCATACAGTGATATGATGGATTTAAGCAAACTTGACTAATTGGAATGGAATTTGAAACAAACAAGAACCGAGTCTTGTCGTGTATTACAAAAATAAAAGTGACAAAATATGGGGCATAAACTAACAGAAATAGACAACTGCAGTGCAACATTTACGACTCAGTCTGGGGAACTTGTACCGGTACTTTTAATCTGTTTCACTCAGGATTTTAGTAAAACAGGCTTTGATGGAACACATTTTAATAATAGATCCCAAAATGAGTGGAAATGCTGGTTTAGTGTTTCATGAGTTCCTGCATGTAGATTTCATTCATGCGATAAGCGGCCATCCAGTTGTTAGCGACGCTGTAGTAGCTCTGGTAGCCGTGCTCTGGAGAAGCAGACAGAGCAGAATAGTAATGGCTCCAGGCTTCGTAGCAGGCTTTCCAGTAGGCGTCAGAACTCCACTCCTCTTCGGTCTCCATTAACTCGTCTTCATCAGGCTTCCTCTTTCGCTCCTTTTTAATCCTCTCTGGTAACTTTATGCTGTCTTTTTTTATTTTTTTGGACTTATCCCTGGCAGTGATATCAGGACTGTTCTGATTGGCTGTTCTGTTTCTTAGAGGTTTTTTGCTCTCAGGCTGAAAAGCAACCCCTACATTTGTAGCGCAGGTTTCCTGGTCATATATTACAGGTGCAGAGGGTTTCAGCTCAGTGGATGCCGTTCCAGTAGCATGTTTTAAAACTTGCTTCTGTTCAGCTACTTGGAACTTCTGGGGAGCTTTAGGTTTGACATCATCGTTTCCATTAGAGTGGGAGCTGTAGGAATTGGACACAGACTGCGGCCGCTCGGCTCGTTGGGTCAAAACTACGGCTCCCTCATCCTGAAGCATGACACACTCATTGTGACCATCCTGATCACTGCCCTCTCCGCCTCTGAACTCCCTGATGATCTCCACTGTCCTCCCTAAACCTGTGGTAATGAAAGATCGGAAGTCCAGCTCAGCCTCCTCAAACGTCAAAAACTTCCACTTGCTGTTCTTGAAGGAGCTGAGGGGGGGGATCTTTGGCAGAGCATCTTGCAGCTCTTTCCGAGTCGGTTGCACAGGAGAAGGACCATGCTGCAAACTCTCCTTTATGGAGGAATCCATCCGACTTTCACTTCCTTTTCCATTCTGTGACGTCAGGGCTGCTGTGTGGGTTTTCTCTGTCCTCGTCTGACTGCTGGACTCTCCAGCTTTATTCCAGTTGGGATCAGTCACTGGGGCTCTGGTGTTAGAACCCTTTTTCTTTGTAGTTCTGGAAACCAGCTGAGAGGCACTGTCTGGAGCGGCAGCCTCGGAGCATATGTCCCAGTCACATGGCTCATCCATCAAGCCCGCGTCCAAGACGGCTAAAAATGAAAGAAGACACATGAGAGAAAAAACGTTTTACTCCACCTGCTTTAGCTCAAAGTCTTAAAAAGTAAAGAAACTATCCTCTGAGACTCACATGGTAAAGCTGACAAACTGAGGCCACACTTCTGAGCAATGGCCATCATTTTGTTCTCCTCTTCTCCATAGCAGCAGTAGGTCACGGCCATCCCCTGAGTGCCTACAAACACAGGAAGATTATGAACGGATCCCTATAATGAATCAAAGAAGGAGTGAAGGTCGTGCAACGAGGGAGACTGACAGCGTAATATAATGCTTCCCTCTATAGAGCAGGGTTTGTCAAAGTCATTCTTACTAAATGCAGATTATTTAGGACCTTTTGAACTAGATTTTCATTTTACTCCTTTAGATACTAAAGGGAACCAGGCTAATCTTTAAAATACTGTTTAATGAGATTTATAATTGTGCCTGATTTTTGTGTTGAGAAAATACATTGTTTCAGGTTTAAATGTAAAATAATGAAATAAAAAGGTTCAAGGGGTAAAAGATGTTTCAATGTTTTATAATGTTTCTATTCGGCAGGCTGCAAAATGGACACTTTGTTTTCCTGGAAGATGTAAGAGTTAATAGTGGGGAAAAAAACGATAGAACCTCTCAGCAAACACCCTTTTCTGCTGTAACATCATCAAACATCTGGGATGATTTGAGTAAAAAGCTGAAGGTCAAACAGTGAACATTTCTGATTGGTGCAGACCTACCGAACCGCCCAGCCCGTCCGATTCTGTGCATGTAGGTTTCCCAGTCCTGGGGCACATCCAGATTGATCACCAGGTTGACTTTCTCTGCATCTATACCTCTAGAAGTCTGACTCACGAGAAAGAGAAACAAAAACAAATGTATTCATAGTTAAAAATAATGCAGCTGACACGTAAAGAACAGGATCAGAGAGAAAAAGACTCATGGAAACATTGAATCCCACCAGATCAGTTGAGATGAGCACTCTGCACTGATACTGCTTCAGTTTGGACATCGCCTCAAGTCTCTGGTCCTGACTCAGACCACCTGTATGAATCATCACTCATGTTATCACACATTTATATTGCATCTTTTTTTTTTTTTTTTACTTTTAATAACTACACAAAGAGTAGAATAAAAATAGAAAACCATGAGATTTACCTTGTTCTACCATGTAAAAGGACTGTTAAATAAATCAAACTTTTTTTTATTTTGCTCCCATAGGAGATGGGCAATACAATAACATTCACTGTATCCTGTAAGAAATGACCGTAGATGATTCAACACAAACATGTTGACTAAAATAATTAAAGTAAAGTTACTGGTGATGTTTTTAAACCCTGAAATAATAAATTATGTGTTTATGTTGTAAAATATAAATATAGAAAAAAAAAATCTTGTTAGCAATGTTTTTGTTCTCTAGGACAGAGTATTAGGGTCGAATAGAGATTTTCTTTTTTTTTTTTTTTAATACAAGAATAAAGTCATAAAACTATGAGAATAATGATGAAACATTATATAGTCATAATATTAAGAGAATAAAGTTGAAACATTAGGAGAATACCATTTTGTTACCAAATACAAAGAGGATATACCTACATGTACCTACAGGTGCTGGTCATAAAATTAGAATATCATGAAAAAGTAGATTGATTTCAGTAATTCCATTTAAAAAGTGAAACTTGTATATTATATTCATACATTACATACAAACTCATATATTTCAGATGTTTATTTTGTTTAATTTTGATGATTACAAATGACAACAAATGAAAATCTCAAATTCATCATATCAGAAAATTAGAATATTACTGAAGACCAATAAAAACAAAGGATTTATAGAAATGTTGGCCAACTGAAAAGTATGAACATGAAAAGTATGAGCATGTACAGCACTCAGTATTTAGTTGGGCCTCCTTTGGCCTGTATTACTGCAGCAATGCGGCGTGGCATGGAGTCGATCAGTCTGTGGCACTGCTCAGGTGTTATGATAGCCCAGGTTGCTCTAATAGTGGCTTTTAGCTCTTCTGAATTGTTGGGTCTGGTGTATTGCATCTTCTTCTTCACAATACCCCATAGATCTTCTATGGGGTTAAGGTCAGGAGAGTTTGCTGGCCAATTAAGAACAGGGATACCATGGTCCTTCAACCAGGTACTGGTAGCTTTGGCACTGTGTGCAGGTGCCAAGTCCTATTGGAAAATGAAATCTGCATCTCCAAAAAGTTGGTCAGCTGCAGGAAGCATGAAGTGCTCTAAAACTTCCTGGTATGTGGCTGCGTTGACCCTGGACCTCAGAAAACACAATGGACCAACACCAGCAGATGACATGGCACCCCAAACCATCACTGACTGTGGAAACTTTACACTGGACTTCAAGCAACGTGGATGAAGTGCCTCTCTTCTTTTCCTCCAGACTCTGGGACCTTGATTTCCAAAGGAAATGCAAAATTTACTTTCATCAGAGAACATGACTTTGGACCACTCACCAGCAGTCCAGTCCTGTTTCTCTTTAGCCCAGGCAAGACGCTTCTGACGCTGTCTGTGGTTCAAGAGTGGCTTGACACAAGGAATGCGACAGCAGAAACCCATGTCTTTCATACGTCTGTGTGTGGTGGTTCTTGAAGCACTCACTCCAGCTGCAGTCCACTCTTTGTGAATCTCCCCCACATTTTTGAAGGGGTTTTGTTTCACAATCCTCTCCAGGGTGCGGTTATCTCTCTTGCTTGTACACTTTTTTCGACCACATCTTTTCCTTCCCTTCGCCTCTCTATTAATGTGCTTGGACACTGAGCTCTGTGAACAGCCAGCCTCTTTAGCGATGACCTTTTGTGTCTTGCCCTCCTTGTGCAAGGTGTCGATGGTCGTCTTTTGGACAACTGTCAAGTCAGCAGTCTTCCCCATGATTGTGTAGCCTATAGAACTAGACTGAAAGACCATTTAAAGGCTTTTGCAGGTGGTTTGAGTTAATTAGCTGATTAGAGTGTGGCACCAGGGGCCATCAATTTTGAACCTTTTCACAATATTCTAATTTTCTGATATGATGAATTTGAGATTTTCATTTGTTGTCATTTGTAATCCTCAAAATTAAACAAAATAAACATCTGAAATATATGAGTTTGTATGTAATGTATGAATACAATATACAAGTTTCACTTTTTAAATGGAATTACTGAAATCAATCTACTTTTTCATGATATTCTAATTTTATGACCAGCACCTGTACAACGAGGCACCAGATGATACTTGTAATTCAGGTAACTCACCACTAGATGGGAGTCAATCTCACACACACACATTGGGGCTTTAAAGCCCATCTCAGTTATAGTCAGTCTATCAATAACAGGTTGCTTCCTTAAACCATATCCTTCCATAATCTGAATGATTCGCCAAAAGACATATGGATACCACTTATCAATTTCCGTCAGAATAAGTTGGAAAATATGTTTTCCCCCTTTTTATTTGATCCCTTAAAACAGATTTACTCTCACCTGAAATACAAACTGCAGGTAACCCTTTTGAGGACAGGATATCTGCTAGGTGCTGAGCCCTGAGAGAGAAACTCAGCATGTCAGAGAAACATCTTATTTTGTTCATTCAATTCTTACACTTTTCTTTAATGATAACGAACAGCTGCAAAAAGGAATGTGAGGATTAGCGATATTTCTACCTTGTGTGAAGGTTAGAAAACACCAAGGCTTGATTAAATGGGATTTTACTAAACAGCTCCATTAGGTGCTGCACCTTCTCCTCAAAAATTTTGTGAGGTAGCGGATGGGACTGCACCAGCTTGTAAAACTGCTTTAAGCCTAAAAAAACAAAAACCCAACAAAGATTACCATAAGTCAACAGATGAAATCGGGAGTCAGAAGGAGGGGTAGAATTGATCTTAAACAAGAGTCTTACCTTTAAGACCCAGGTCACTGGGATTGAGTCTAACAAAAGTTGGCTCATTCATGTAGCGGGTAAGGTGTTGAGCAAGGGACTCGGTGTAAGTGGCAGAGAGTGCAAGCATTTGCTTATTGACCGGCAGAGAGGAGAAGATCCAGCTTAGGAAGAGAACAGAGATCGCTAAATGAATAAAACTAGTTTTAAATTCCAGCAACAATCTGCGCTGAATTGATCTCACTTTATCTGATCCTGGAAGCTGCCCTCCTCAAGCAGCTTGTCTGCCTCATCCAGAACGAAGAGCCTGACGCTGGCAGTGGACAACATGCCAAGTTCAATAAGCTGCTTGATGCGACCTGAGAACACACACCAGGAAATCTGTCACCAAAAACAAGCATCACCATGAAAACATGAGGAGATTCCTTCCATCTATCGACACCCCACTGGTTTCTTACCAGGGGAGCCCACAGCTATGTGACACTTCTTCAGATGGGCTTTATCTTGGCTCACAGGCCTGCCCCCAATGAAAACATGACACTCCAGGCCTTCCATAGCGCAGCCAATGGCCATCACCACTGAGTGGATCTGCACAGCAATCTCCCGCGTCGGAGCCAAAACAAGAACCTGCATAAGAAGTAGAACGATAGTGAGAAAAAATCCACAAGCCATAAGCAGATCCTGGATGCTTCTAAAACAGTAATAGTTGAGGGCGTCCTTTACGATTATTAAACATACTTCTCCTTAATAACAAGCTTACAGTCATCAGCAGAAAATTGAAATCAGAGTGCTCAATACTAGTATGAGGAAAATAGATTAGATTTATTTAAAGATCTATAAAAACATGGAATTATATACTGATGAAATGTCCCACTCATGAGCACCAGTTAAGTATTTCCTGTCACCTGAGTGGACGGATTCTCCAGGACAAGAGAGTCCAGCGCAATCGTGACGAAAACACAGGTCTTCCCTGTTCCAGACTTGGCTTGCACAATCAAATCTGAAACAAGATAGAAATAAAAAACAAAAGCTGATGCAATGGAACAACAAAATAATAAAATCTGAAAAAAAAAAAAAACATTTTAAAATGACTGGGTGCATGTTTCCTTAATTTAACACAAAATATAAAGCTCACTCCCTAAAATAAAAGTAATCTATCCATCTCCCATTTTGGTTTGAATTTTTTGTATAGCTGATCTGTCAGGTATGTACACGGGCAGGACTTTAATCTGGGTTGGTCCCATTTGGGATTGAGCAGGGGCAGCTACAACATTGTTAATTTTATCTAAACTCATTAAAGGAGAAGTTCGGCTTTTAACACTTTTAGCCCATTTTCTGTAGTGTCCAGGATGAAATCGAATGATCGACACCAAAATGTTGACAATTGGTCCTGTCTCTGCTTTTTGGCTCATTTAGAATCCACCCCTGGCTGCTTTAGAATGGCTTCCATAGAGCATGTCCGATAATGTCCTTAAAACAACCTTAAACGTTCTTTTTTTAAAATATGCTACTCACCGGGTCGTCAGCGCTGTTCAATGACGTTCCAAAAAAAGTTTCGTAATGAAAAAACGTTCCTGTAGTGTTTTATTTAGCATTTTGTAAATCCCATTGAGTTCTGTAGGAATAGTCAATATTCCGCTGCCACCGGAAACGGAAATAGGGCCTGTTTACACAGTTGTAGTCTTTTCGCTTCACTCTGTGTACTCCGACGTCGAGAATCAAGAATCCACCTTTCGTATTCCATTTTCAGAGTTTTTTAAAGTGTTTAACAGAGACGTTAGCACCTCGACGTCGGAGTACACAGAGTGAAGCGAAAAGACTACAACTGTGTAAACAGGCCCCATTTCCGTTTCCGGTGGCAGCGGAATATTGACTATTCCTACAGAACTCAATGGGATTTACAAAATGCTAAATAAAACACTACAGGAACGTTTTTTCTTCACGAAACTTTTTTTGGAACGCCATTGAACAGCGCTGACGACCCGGTGAGTAGCATATTTTAAAAAAAGAACGTTTAAGGTTGTTTTAAGGACATTATCGGACATGCTCTATGGAAGCCATTCTAAAGCAGCCAGGGGTTGATTCTAAATGAGCCAAAAAGCAGAGACAGGACCAATTGTCAACATTTTGGTGTCGATCATTCGATTTCATCCTGGACACTACAGAAAATGGGCTAAAAGTGTTAAAAACCGAACTTCTCCTTTAAGCTTGACTGATGAGCAAAGACAGCAAGACACATTTAACAATTCCTTCAGGGAGAACTGAAAATATAAATAAAAGGTAGTAGTATCAATGATTGCTTTTTTTTTTTTAGATTGCATCCAGACTGTATGATCAACTAACAGTCATATAGTTTTAATCAGCAGTTTCTTGGCTTCCAACAGGCATAGACGCCATGGAGAAACACAAATATTTTAAGTAAGTATGGCTAGTTTAAAGATGGTAGTTAGAGCGGGAGACAGCTCCAACACAGCTGCAGCTGTCCAGTTATTTAACATCTAATTGATCTCTAAAGACCTAATCCAAATTGTTGACATACTACATCCGAGGTCACGGATTAGTGGACCGGGGTCCGGATCCGGACCCACCTACTGGCTAATCCATACCCAACCTGATTTAAAAGATTTATAAATTACTACAGGTTGTCTGACGGCAGTGTCTAACTTCACTTGCGCCGCTTCTCCTGTTAATATGGTAACGCCCTCCAGAGCATCTGGGACCAGGCTGCATGTGATACTAATTAGCAAATGAGCTGTCAGTCTAGGTTGCTGCTACTGGCCACTTTTAGACACAGCAGGCAAACTTGCGGCAACCCGGGCAATGGGAAAGAAGGAGAAGAAGATGAGAAAAAGAGAGCAGAGAAAGTGTGAACTGCTGGAAGAACTGCGGCAAACTAGTGAAAGAAAAGTGAAATGGCGTGCTCAAAGATGACCCTGCACATTTTGAATATGTTTTGCTCAATCTACTGCTGTGAAGCAGGATTCTCCACCACCATAATCAAAAATAAATATTGATGCAGACTCATTAATGGGCACCTAGATATGTGCTTGAAAATGGCTTAGTCAGCATTCAAACTGTTTTAAAAGCCTTGAAGAACATCATGAAGCCAGCTTCTCTCATCAAGCCATACCAAACTAAACAATTGTTGTTCTCTACTTCAAAAAAGACTTTAGAATTTAAAATGGAAACGTTTTTTTTTTATATATACATATACTTTTTTATTTAAAAAATCAATGTATAACATGGATGCATAAAAAACATTTCATTTTAGTGTTAAATTCTATTTAAAGTAACAGATTGCAAATAAAAATGTCTCTGGACCTTTACTGGTTGATGATTTTCTTTATTCGGACACCGCTGATGTAAAATAGTTTTTTAATCGATGAATACAGTACTTAACTTTTGATTTAAAAAAAAAAGGTGTGATGAATATGAGTTAATTGTAAAGAAATTAAAATCTAACAAACACCGTTCAACCACTTTACATGAGGTTTCTATTAAATGATGTACTTGTTATGAATTGAGTGGTGGCCCAGGGGTTAGGTCATAGAGCTTTGAATCCTGAGGTTGTGAGTTTGAAACCCACTCCCACAGACTGCCACTCTGAGGAAGAACTTTAACCCCACACTGCTACCTGGGTTCCCCACAATGGCAACCCACTGCTCCCCAAGGGAATGGGTGCAGAGGTAAACTTCTCCAATGTGAGATCAATATATTCAATTAGTATTTATGGGTGTGTAGGTAACAGGTTTGAGTTCACTATGTTAAAATATTGAGATTCAAATAAAGCCTGTGAGACATTTTGTAAAAAAGTAAACTGTTGCATCCGCCCCCATTCTCCCTAAAGCAGCAAAATATATATATTTTATTAAAACACGATGATTGTTTCTAACGTGAGCCTCCAAACTGAGGTCGAGTCCTGCCCTTTGTCATATCTAACATAGTTTAATTAGTGTGATCAGGACGCTGCCAAGGTGTATCATCGGACAGAGCTGCCACTATCTGTTGACCTACCGAGTCCGCAGCGGCCCAGAGGGATCGCCTTCAGCTGGATGGGGGACGGTTTCTGAAACCCCGCAGAGGACAGTCCGTCCAACACCGGCTGAGACAACAGCAGTGAGCTGAAGTCAATCCCCTCCGCCAGAAGCACGTCCTCTGTCCTTTTTCGAGTCTCTATATCGTGTGCGGCTCTCCTCATGGAGGCCGCCATCTTTACTGTTTACCACCTGCGATGCGAGCAAGTTTAAGTAGAAATGGTTTGTCGCCCTCTAGTGTCGCGGAGGACAGACAATATTTGGGCCTAAATGTTTCCCAAACTTTTTTGACTTGTGTAACTCCTTGGCCATTTATTCGTACCATGAGTATCCTCTCAGTCAAAAGTATTGATGATTGTCCAAAAGTATAAAGTACAATAATTGATTAAAAAATAAAAACAATTGCACTCACTCTTTTAACTTGAGCATTTAATTCTTAATCATTTAATTATTTCCATATGAAATAATATCAACATAAATATGTGTCCTGGGAGTTAGTAAGAAATCATAATACAATCAAAATAGAATATCATAAACCTGTATTTATAAAACGAGCTTCTTTTAGTAAATCCCTTACAAGCACATTTAAACTTGAGGATTTGGGAACAAAATAAAGAACAAAAATTAGTCAGACTGACTTTGTTTCTATCAAGACACCTGAGCTGCTTGATGAGCTCTGATAGCTCAGTGTGGTAAGCAGCTGATGCCAGGCTGTTCTCTACATTCAGGCTGTTCCTCTGCTTGGTTTTGATGTGGGTCACAGCTGAAGGTCAACTCAAACATATAAGAAAAGCTTACCTTTTGGCTGATAAAAGCTTGTTTAAATTTTCACTTGGGTCCTCACACAAAAAAGATCCCAGCTCTATTTTACTACCTAAGAAATAAGATATTTACATTCACCCCTGGCACTCGTGGACCACAAGGGGTATGAGTACCCCCGGTTGGAAATCACTGTCCTGATCGATTCCAAACGCAACTAACCTCCTGCAAAGATCTTATCTACAACCTGAGTAACTAAACTTCACAAATTAAACACTCTGAATATAGATAATCTCTGATGAATAATTTAGTTCAGTTTTAGCATGGCCAGACCATGCAATGTTTTCTTTTCATTGCATAATTAAATCAAGCTTTTATAAATGCAAAGAATGGATTGATGATGGTATTTGTGTTATTTGATAACATAAATATTTGTAAAGTGGTTTATAGATTATTAAATAATGTGTTTACTGTAGAATTGAACTAAAGATGTTTAAAGGCCATAAACTGCACTGAATCAATTAATAATAGACTGTAAGCCAGTCACTAGCATCAGTCATATTAGTCGTATGCAGTGCAACATTGGTTGAGTGTGAGGGGATTGCTGTAGAATCAATGACACAAGGCAAGCCAATTGCTACATGCTCTTCCAGGAGAAAAAAATCCTGCAAAGTCCTGATGCAGTCAGCTGGTTCGCCTTGGATAGAAAATGTTTAACCATGCTGATTGTATGATCCGGTTGAATTGTCTCTGTAAAGTTGCGATGAAATGTGTTTTGCAGTGGCGCTATAAATGAACTGAACTGTATTGCTTTTTTATGAGTATTTCTGCATACAACAGGGGGCATATATTTGTATAGGCAATAAACGCAAATTTGAAATAGAATATTTCTATTTTTTTAATTTTTTTATTTATTTCAGTTTTTACATGGATAAACTCTTATAATTTACTTATTTTTTTAGCCATTGTCTATATTCTGGGCTGCCTTTTAGAAAATGCTATCCAAATGTTTTTTTTGTTTTTTTTAGGCACAGAAATGAGAATATTTTTTTTTGTTTTTAGCTACATGTAAATTACATAAATAAAAATAAAAAGTTTCAGCTTTAAATAGATGTATCACTGATTAGTTATGTATCGAATTTTGTAGATTTTATTGTCTACCTCAGGTTTCTCCTTCATTGTTAAAGTTAAAAAAAATCAAATGTTTTACATAGAAAAGCAAGCTTTATGAAAAGCAGAACTTCTGCACGGTTTCCTTACAAGCAGTTATTGTGATCAAATCTAGCAATAATGTAAAGTGCAGTCTAAGAGGATTTGTTTATCATTATCTCTATAATCTGGATTTACGGATTTGCTTTATAAGAATTATAGTTCATCTTATTAAAGTAGAAAATCTCCGTGTCCTTTCCCAAGATGTCACAGAGCAGCGGTCGAGTAGAAGATGGCATAGCAAATAACAAGGAGATGCTGTTTCATGTTTCAACAGTCAGCTTGTTTTAAAAAAGTTTAGGATTTGAGCTAATAATTGATCACATATGCTTGTTGCTTTTAGTATTGTTCATGTTTTATTGTACTCTGTAGTTTATCACACAATTGAAAGACTGTCAAAAATGGAGCCTGTTACCTCCACTGAAAACCTCTCATCTGAGAGTTTAAGCCACACAGGCCTCTTGTCTCAGATGGGATACACAATATTGGCCATTATCATGGGAGTGCTCTCTTTGGCGGGAATCATCCTCAACATCCTTGTGATTGTGGTGACAGCGAGACACAGAAAGTTAAGGCAGCCGTTGAGCTATGCTCTGTTTAACCTTGCTGTATGTGACCTGGGCTGCGCTTTGTTTGGAGGGCTACCTACAACATTCAACGGCATCATGGGACAGTTCAGCCTGGGACGGTTGGGCTGCGTGTTTGGGGGCTTTGCTGTCGCCTTTTTTGGTGAGTCTGTTTTCTTTTATTCTAAATCCTAAAAATGTGCATGCAGCCCTGTGCTGTAAGTAAAAATCTTCTTAAAATGTACAACACAGGGCTGCAGGTAAAGATTGGGTGTATTGATGGATGCTTGATTTGAACCAAGCATTTTGATAAATTAATAAACAATAAACACAAAACTTAATTTAGTTTTGTTGTCCAAACTGACTGACTAGTAGTCAAAGGCAGTGCATAATACTGTGTGTGATTTATTACAATTACTGTTGCTCCATAAAATCCCCACATAAAGCAAATCCACTATTAATATTGTTCTACAAACCAATGTTGACAAAGAATAACATATTTAATAAAAAAAAAAAATATATATATATATATATATATATATATATATATATATATATGGTATATAATGCACAGAAATTGTGTTTTGACGAACTAAAGTTTTTCTTCTGCCTCGCTGCAAATTTATCAGTAATAAAACACTTGCAATAAATATTTAAATAAAGAATAGATGTCTTCACTTGATTTCTTTGAAAAATACTTTTTCATATTGGAGACAAACATGCCTAACACACCTAAACATTGAGAGTTTGAAAACCATTAGTTTTGGTGTTCCTCAGAGCTCCGTCTCCAGTCACCTGATCTTTACCCACATGTGCTACAGCTGGTTACTATTAGAGGAAATAAAAACATAAGCAGTCATTCAGACATCAATGCTCATTGTTTATATAATTCAGTTTCATCTGAGTTCTGCTGAGAGAGTATGAATTTTAGGATGCTTCAGAATCAAAATGCCATAATAATAAATGGTTTGTCAAATAAATAAATAAAAAGGAAAATATAAATAGGGGAGGTACCACTGACTGAAAACAGTAAATCAAATCAAAATATGTTTTTCCAATCTCAGATTTTATTAGAAACATCAACAACAAAGGTTTTAGAATTCATTGTTAAAAAAAATGACTTATATGTTGGTTTAAACCTTCAACATGTGAAGATCAGAGCTGTTCTTCTTGCGCAAAACCAAAAAACCCTTTTTTTTTTCTTTTTTTTTTAGAAAAACAATAAAGATAAAAGAATAGACCTTCAATTAAAACACTCTTAAATCAGTATTATATTAAATGTCCAAGTTTTATGTTTAAGCAATAAAAAGGCTTGGAAAATAATTTGTTTTAAGTAAAACCTTAATCTAAGAAATTCAATGATGTGGAAGGATTATTTTAGTTCTAAAAACAAAGGAATGTTAGCACAAATGTACAAGGTACTAAAGTATTGGTAAAATTAAATTTTACAAAAAAAAATATTAATTGTAAATGAAATGAAATTTCTAATAAGTCATTTTTATTTTCCCCACAGGTATATCAGCTCTGTGTACAGTGGCTGTTATTTCTGTTGAACGTTACATTGTGGTGTGTTATCCTATGGGAGCTGTTCTTTTCCAGACCAGGTAAAATCTACTAATATTCCTCAGTCTCTATAGAAGAATGCTTCCATCAACAACAGGCTGTCCTCATCTTCCACAGGCATGCGGTGGCAGGCGTGGTTCTTTCCTGGGTCTGGTCATTTGTGTGGAACACCCCACCTCTGTTTGGGTGGGGAAGTTTTGACCTTGAAGGGGTTCAGATTTCCTGTGCACCTAACTGGTATAACCGTGATGCTGCCAACATGTCCTACATCATCCTCTACTTCTCTCTATGCTTTGCGGTGCCTTTTTCAGCTATCATGGTGTCCTATTCCAAACTTTTATGGACCCTTCGTCAGGTGATTAATACAGATTCTGGATGTCTTTTTTTGTTTGTCTGCAGACTGTCACCATTAATTCATCTGTTTGGTTCCATAGGTCTCTAAACTGCAAACATCTGAGAGCGGAAGCACTTATCGTGTGGAGAGGCAGGTTGCTCGCATGGTTGTGGTGATGATCCTGGCTTTCCTCATCACATGGCTGCCTTATGCAGCAATGGCCTTGGCCGTGATCATGGACCCCAGTCTTAATATAGACCCCATCGTCGCCACCATACCTGTTTATTTAGCCAAAAGCAGCACCATCTACAACCCCATCATCTACATTTTCATGAACAGACAGGTAACCCTTCATTTATTTGAACACATAAACAACCACACAGCTACAAACCATGAGCTGTCTGTCTTTCAGTTTCGTGGCTGTGCTATTGCTGTTCTTCAGTGCGGATGGAGCCCGTGGCCCTCTGAAGCCCAAATATCCGATGCTGCCACCATTGTAGCATCAGTCAACAAAAACAACAAAGCTGTAGTGGAACAATCTCCAAAAGAATAAAACTTTACCTGATCCTTTGGATTCAATTGTGAATTATGCAGTTTGTAAGACACTACAGAAAGATACAGTCAAAAATGAAGAAAGAAAAATATTAAATCATTTGTTAAAAAGTTCAAAGACCAAGCTGCTTTTTGACCTAATCTAAGGTTTTTGATTGATTTGTTTATGTTGTTTTTTTCTGAGTGTTGGCCAGGTAGGAAATATTCATGTATTCATGAAATGTATTGTCGTTAGGTTTACTGTCAATTTACAATTCTGGTCATTTTTGAGTCCTACCCTTTAAGGTTAAAACAAATAATATGGTGGGTTCTGTTGCCTTGCAGTGTTTGCTTTAATACAAGGGGAGCCCTGATGCATAATAACCTTGAATTAAAGGGATAATAGACAGCATCAAACAGGACAGGGCACAAATACAAATATGTATTCTTGATTAAACTTAAAATTTCATCATTAACATCTATATTCATTTTATTCAACCATTTGGCTTTAAGTTCAAAGCCAGCTGAAATTAAAAAGCTTCCTATAGATTCATTTTAAAAATTCTATACTTTTGTTCATACATAGATTTCAAAATTTGCACCAAGATTTTTTTTTTATCATTCTGGGAATTTAGGTACAGTAAATTTAAATTCTTACTTAAAAAAAAAAAAAAAAAGATCAATTATTTGCTCCATGCTCAGAGTAATGTAATTAAATTGCCAATACTCAGTTCTTTCAAATTAAGTATTTCTAAGCAGAATCAAATTTGAGTGTACAGCATTTGCAATTCAGATCTTCCAACCACCTTCATTGATGTATCTTATTACAGTACGTTCATAATGCGGACCAACCTTTATCACTTTTATAAGACATTCAGTTTTATTGCTGGGGTTTTGTGTATTTAGCTTGAAAATAAAAACAGTTATCTTTATTGCAGAGTCACCCATTAAAATAAATAAGTATGCAATCAAACAGTTTCCATGGCTTTTTATTGATTACAGAAATATTGCTAAGACCTTTAATAAAGAAAAGCAAAAAAGGAGAAAAATCTAGAATGTGAATAGCTGTATCAAACCTGTACATTTTTTTTATATACAGAGTGAGGGATCATCTATGTACATGCTACATACTGTCACACTCTAGGAAACAGAAGTAGTCCTTAGATGCACAAGCATGGGATCAGATGACTTGTTCTAAATCCATTTTATGGAAAGATATGCAGAAATGACCCGAGGTCAGCATCAGAAGCAGTCACATACACCAACAGGCTTTCTGACAGATACAGTACATGTTGACATGTCAGCTAATTTGCGTGTAAAAACAAAAGTTGTGTGCTTGAACACCTGATGCTGGGGGCAGGAGGGATCGACTTTGGTCGTCCAAGTTCTGGCCAATATAGCCGAACAGATAGAGAAACAATGCAGCGCCCTTCCAACTTTCACACCAAGTGAAAACCATGTAGAAATTATAAGACTTTTTTTTTTATTGCAGTGAAATAATCTCAAACTAAAAAAAACTAGATGAACTTGTTACCTTTTTTTGGAAGTTTTAGCTGCTTTAATCTGCTCCAATGTTGCATTAACTGTAGATTTCCTGATGAAATATGTAATTTTGTTTGCCTTATTTAAAATGAAATGTTCTTGGCATTAAAATTTTTTAAGTTAAATAAGTCTATGTCACCTCATATTCATATTCTTGGATTAATCTTGGATTACCATGATTACTATATTAAATCAAATTATTTTGCAAAAAGAAAAAAAAAAACGCATTTATTAAAATTTTACATTCAGTTTTACCTTTATATTTTTCACATTGCGTGAGATTAGACCACTGCATTGAAAGATAAAATGATCTTCTGTATTCCAAACATCTTTCAGATACATTTTCAAGGGGGTGGCAGAACACATGGAGGGCGCTGCATATTTAATTGCCTAAATACTGTATTTTAGCTGATTTTGATTAACCATACAGCCCATCATGTTCCAGTCAGCTCTTTATATCGGTATTTTACATTGTGTTGTTATTGGTACAGTATTTAAGGTTCATATTATATTATTTGGTGTAATAACCATGTGATAAAATTATGTTGCATGCAATGCTCAAAGGGGGCATTCCTCTTCCTGCAGCAGGTAATCCACATACAAACATAAAAACATGTGTTTTATAGCCAAACATGCTTAAAGAGATGGCGACAAAGAACAAAATGTAAGGTAGTCTCTAAACAACAATATTAAATTGATTTAACAGCAAATGAATGACAGCAAAGACGGATATTCTTTACATACAGTATAAACTATCATCGCAAAGGACTTTGGACCATGAATTGCTCTACTGGGGAGACACGCCATCAGCTGCACCTCACAGCATCCACAGAAACAAAACAAGCAAAAAGTCCTGAGCTTAAGGAATGTGCAACATGTCCCCAGCTAATTACCCACTGTTAAGACTGAGAACAGCATCCTGGAATAATCATTGCTTCTTCTGAAAAAGTAAATCTCATGATCATATATATACAGATTTATTTCATTTTAAAAAGAAGTAAAATCGTAAAAAAAAAAAAAAAGCACATAAGGTTTGACAGAAGAAGGATCTATTTATGAGTTCGAGGTAAAATCAGATACAAACAGGACAGTTCAACATTAAGACCTGCACATGACAACAAATAACTTCTCAGTCAAGGCAAAAAGGATGAGGGGTGGGGCATCTGGGAATCAGCAGGTGAGGAATTGTACACTTCCTTTACCTCTTCAGTGTTATCCTTCTCACAAAAACAGAACAGCATTCTGCAGTGTAGTGTTTTTCTTTACAGCATTGCGGAAACGCAGAGTGTTTTCAAATGTAGAGTATCCAAGTAGTGCAGAAACAACATCTTATGCATGTCCTATGATTTTAGTGGAAATCACATTTTTTTGGTTTCTCGAATGATTCTTACTCAGTCGTGTACATGTACATCCTACCCTGCTGGAGCGACTGATGAGGTAACAGAAACAGCCAACCTGACCTCTGCTGGGCAATAAGGTGCAAAACATTTCTCTCCGTAAACTCCAACTGTCAACACACTCGTCATTTTCAAGTGAGCCATCAGTGTAAGTCAGTGTGTTTAAGATAAACATAATCAAAGAACAACCGTTAAAGGAGTTCAGCAAAAGTTCAGGGTCGAGGTGCAATGCATTAGAGTTTGGGTTCAGGATGAGGTGTGCTATGAAAAAAGCAGGAGTTCTACAGCTTAGTCTATCTATGTACAGCAATAATGTGAACATAGAGTGAGAGTTGACACCTCTTACTTTCTTAGCCGTTGATTTGTGTTGACTTTGACTCCTCCTTCCTTCCAGCTGACTGATACAGCAAGATCAGTTTCAAATCCGAGTCAGCTCACATTATAACACTGTCCTCTTCTGGACAGCAGTAGCAGCAGCAGCAGCAAGGAGAACCTTATATCCTCCCACTTCTTCCAGCATTACACTTATTCATTATAATATCTATCATTAGGGTTGAACTGAGTCTTTATCTATAAGTTAGAATTCTTCAGCCATAGTTTTGTGTGGTTTTTGTTATCACATTTACTGAAAGAGTGTTGGTGTGTATGTCTCTTTCCTTTCTCCAGTAGGAGTGTGTGACTGTGTAGCAGGTGTGCTTCGCTCCTTTAGACTGTGTGTGGCGGGGTTGGTAAATGTTGGTTTGGATGAGACAGCCCCACGTGTCACTGTCTCCTGCATCTCACCATCCCGCCAGCACTAAAACAACACACTCTGCCTCCTGCTCTTCCCCTGGCCTGAGATACAGAAAGAAGAGAGATACAGAAAAGAGAGAGATACAGAAAAGAGAGAGATACAGAGAGAGATAAAAGTTGTTGAGATTAATTTCTTTGGACATATGAACCTTGTTAAACGTTTGCAAATTTCACATAAAGCCAGTAAACACACCACTACAGGCCAGAAAACATTAGATGCACAAGACTGCAGCAACTGCTTAGTTATTAGAGGTGAGTATTGGTATGAGTGTTGCGATTCGATACGTGTCACGATACGATATTATCACGATATTGCAGTATCAAAATCAAATGATGAGATAAAACAGCAAGTGCTGTATATTTTCATCAGAAAATATTGCTTAGGTACTATTATCCATGTTGTTTGGGGTTTTCTTCCACTGTGACTGCCTCAAATACAGATTTGGTGCTGCACGCACAGTTAAAGGGCTCCACAGCGCTTTCTGTCAGAGTGGTGGTGCAGAGGTATCCCATTTTCCCATCAATGTTTTATGTAACCATTTTTTTTTAAATCGATACTACTACTTTAAAACTGACTTTTTTTCCCCCCATAAAACTATTTCACACAAATAAAACAGAGCAGCATCTCTCAAAGTGACACTCACTCTGAATAAACAGTTAAACCACTAATTCTTATATCTTAAGTCAAATACTTAAAAACCCAATTGTTTGTCTCATTTGTTTGGAACTACCTTTGACTGTTAAAATTGAACTGTCAACTGAGGTATGATTAGTTTAAGTTTGTGGTGGTTCAGCTGTTTCATCTGCTCTACTAGCTGCTCTTATTTTCCTTCTGTTTTACTTTTTAATTCATGTTAATTGTCTTTTTAGTGAATCCTGCATTCCAATTCTGAGCTTGTGAGAAAAAAAATATTTCAAATTTGGATTTCAGAATGAATTATTATTCTAATGTTGAGGGGAAAGTAAATTAAATCAGTGATAAAACGTTTTTTTTTCTTTCAGTTTAGGTGGTTAAGAAAAATAAATCATAGTTTTCCTCAAAGAAACCTTTAAAAAGTAATCCTCACTTTTGTTAGTCCTGCTTTACAAAAAAAGATGGAACAGCAAAAAAAAAATCACCTTTATTCCCAACACTTTCTAGAAATGCATTTTACCAGCACTTGGCTACTATTAATTCTGAAGATCATTTGAATCGTCAACTATAGAAACAAATCACTCCTATCCTGAGCATATATACTAACTGAATAAACATATATGCAGAGCATAATCAACAAAAACCTGTAAATTTATATATGACTGCTTAATTTTAGTCAGCGCACCGTGTAAACTACTAACTTTGCATTTGTTGTTTACTAGACATTTACATTACAAATGACGATAATATTATCTGCTTCCCCTCTAACAACTAGGCTTTCCATCAGTTTTTAATCTGGATACTCTAACTTACTTAACCTTTTTACAACAGATAAGAAACCATTTGGGGAAAAAAAAAAACTGGATTGCATAAAAACTAACAAACCTTCTCCGCCTTCAACCTAAATCTGGGATATTGAAAATGGTTAAACACTGCCAAGAAATTGTTAGAATTAAAACCAAACACGATGCTTTGCAAAAGTATAAACATGTAAGTGAAGAGAAAATGATACAGGTCTTTTAAATTATTGTAAATAAACAAATAAGCGTCCCCCAGCATTTAATCTGCTTTGCTCAAAAACCCTTAACTAAAATCTAGTGCAACAAACTGCTTTTAAGTCTAAATTGAGATTTTATGTCTCAGTTCTGTATATAAAGAGAGATAGTCTCAGTGTTTTGCTAAATGCTGAACAAACAGCATCATGATGAATAAGAAAACACACCAGACAGGTATGGCCAAACGTTAAAAGCAGGTTTAGATCATTATAAGTTATATCTGGCTGTTTAAACAGGGAAGAGTTACATATGAGATTTTATGGAAATCACAAATGGAAAGTAGAGCTGCAACTAAGGAATATTTTGCAAATCTATTAATCTGTCGATTATTTTTTCAATGAATTGATTAATAATCAGATAGCCAAAGGTTACTTAAAGAAGACTTTTTTCAAAATTAAACCAAATGAAATTAAAACTTTTCAACTTTAGGGGTTCTAGATTGAGCATGCAAAATGTTTACATATTTTGTTTTTTTACAATTTTTGTATAATTGCTGCTCAAGGTGGGTCGCTCTGTCAGCTAAAGGCATGGTTTAGAGTC